TAGGGTTCGTACCAGGTGGGGGTAGGTACCCACACGAGCCTTATAGAATAGGATTCATACCGGGTGATGGTAGGTACTCACAAGAGCCTTATGGAATAGGGTTCGTACCAGGTGGGGGTAGGTACCCACAAGAGCCTTATAGAATAGGGTTCGTACCGGGTGATGGTAGGTACTCACAAGAGCCTTATAGAATAGGGTTCGTACCGGGTGAGGGTAGGTACTCACCAGAGCCCTATAAAATAGGGTTCGTACTACCAAAGCCTTATAAAATAAGGTTTATACCGGCTTAGGGTAGGTATTCATCAGAATCTAGCAAAAGTGCAGATTCGTACCAGGTGGGGATAGGTACCCACCAAAGCCTTATAAAATAAGGTTTATACCGGATGAGGGTAGGTACTCATCAGAATCTAGCAAAAGTGCAGATTCGTACCAGGCGGGGGTAGGTACCCACCAAAGCCTTATAAAATAAGGTTTATACCGGATGAAGGTAGATACTCATCAGAATCTAGCAAAACTGCAGATTCGTACCAGGTGGGGGTAGGTACCCGCCAAAGCCTTATAAAATAAGGTTTATACCGGATGAGGGTAGGTACTCATGAGAATCTAACAAAAGTGCAGATTCGTACCAGGTGGGGGTAGGTACCCACCAGAGTCTTATAAAATAAGGTTTGTACCGGATGAGGGTAATTACTCATCAAAACCTAGCAAAATGCATCAGGTAGTGTAAAATACTCACTAGAGCATTACAAAAACGGGTTGCAAATACCTTGCTTCTATTAGAGGATAGTTCAAGTGTTGAACACCTCGGAAGTAAGTACCCACAAGAGTTTAGCAAAATGCGAACTCATACCAGGTGAGGGTAGATACTCATCAAAGCCTTGCAGAACAAGGTTCATACCAAGTGGGGGTAGGTACCCACAAGAACCTTATGGAATATGGTTCAGAATCTAGCAAAGAGCAGATTCATACCTAGTGGGGGTAGGTACCCACAAGAGTCCAGTGAAATGCAGACTCATACCTGGTGAGGGTAAGTACTCACTGGAGCCTTATAAAGTAAGGCTCAAACCAGATAGGGGTTGGTACCTATCAAAAAATATTTATCATCCGGAGGATCAGCGAAGGAGCATCTGAAGGATAACCGGGCAAAATGGTTAACTCCTTCCCCTACCAACTAATTTTGTCAGCACATTAAGCCAACAAATTAGCCAGGCAGGTGAAGGGGGGGCAGCTGTAGATCCCTAATTTTGCCCGGTCTCTCAATAAAGGCTAAGGAGACTTCCTATAACAAGATAAAGTTCGTCCGGCATCTCAATAAAGGCCAAGAAGACTTCCTATGTGAAGATAAAGCTTCAACGGGCGTCTATCGGCATCAATCAATGTCCGAATAAAGAAAGGAAAGTTGCCCGGGGGTCGCAGAACACAAAAGCTGGCCAAAACAGGTTGAGACGGTCGTCCCAAATGTGAGACGGTCGTCCCAAATTGTGCGTCCCAAGTGAGACGGCCGTCCCACTCTTCATTTGGTTGTCTCAAGGGTAAAAATTCAAATGAGACGGCCGTCCCAACATCTCCAGACGCTCATCCTTGATTTCCAAGCCCCGGACAGCCGTCCCAAGCTGCCAGGCTGCGAAAACTATAAATAGGAGGCTCATTTGTCACTTTTTCACACCCCAGACAACTCCCAATACTTGTCTTCTCTTCCTACTTCGAATGAACTCTCTGATTGCCTTAATAAGGTAACAATCAGTTAAGGAATTATATTCCAGCATTCGATTCTTCTGTAAAAATTTAGTCGAGTCGATCTTGTATTCGAAGATGAGAGTCTTTGAAGAGTGAGGGATTGCCAAAACGCATCCTTACGATCAAAGATTTGCAATACAAAGCTTTCTACGGAGGTTCTTTTCACTTGTCTTCTCTTTTACTGCTTTAGCTATTGCTTTATGTATGCAATATGAAATAAAGTCATGTAGATAACCATTTTTAATATTATGCAATAAAATAGGGTAATTGCGTAATTTCTTGTAATCTTCACTTAAATGAATTAATCCATCATAGGGAACCCGAAAGGGGCATTGTGGGGTGCTAACACCTTCCCCACACGTAACTAACTCCCTTACCTAACTCTGGTTATAATGGCCAAGTTTGGTTTTTATTAAAATCAACGCCTTTTTATCCTTTTGCAATGTTTATGGTCAAAACATTGGTGGCGACTCCATAAGAACCTCTTTTCGAAAACCTTGCTTTTATTAGAAGATAGTTCAGTTGTTGAGCACCTCGGAAGCAATGAACATAATTTTAACATAAAACGCGAGTCTAAACCATCTTTTCGCGACCGCTCGCATAAACGTTCGAGATGTCTCTAGACGTCGGAACGGACGGCATAAAAATATAATATGAAGAAATAATAAATAATAAGAATATAAATAATAAAATTATTACCTATTAGATCCGTCGGTAATATTTACCAACAACTGAATTTCTGACGGAACGGATTTTTGTTATTACCGACAGATTTTGACCGTCGATAATTTAAATATTTCTTGTAGTGAATATTTCTTTATCTCTGTCTGAAACAAACATGTTTTTCATCTCTTTCATGACACCACCATAACCATATAAACAAACACTTTTTGTAACTACTATGTTAGTATATCCCCTATGCACTGTGCAAATGAAGAGAAAGATGAAAATGGTGATGATGATGATAGGTAAATAAACATATGTCCCTTATGCATTGTGCAAATGAAGAGAAAGATGAGAATGTTGATGATGATAGACAAACAAACATTCAACCTCCATCATCACATGATAGTATGCGTGTTACACAAACATAACAAATGTTTATTCAAGACCAATTACATAGACCAAAACAATAAATAAGAAGATCATCTTGTATGACGAAATCTCACTATTAATTTTTTTTCTACATATGATAATGTATATATGCATGTAATATTTTAATATAAATATAATGAATTAAATTTAACTATATTTGTTTAAATATTTTTATTTTTTATTAAATTAGTAATTCAATTAAAAATAATTATTTAATAAATAATATATTTTTTTTTAAATTGTTTTTTCAAAAAAATAAAAATGAGAGCACAATTTTGATATAAAAAAAGAGAAACTCGTATTTTAGAACACATTTAAAAAAAATCAAAATTATGTTTGAAATTACGATTTTAGTCAAAATCTTGTTTTCAAAGATTTTAAGTAGGCATGGCAACGGGGCGGGGCGGGGCGGGTTTTGCCTCTCAGATCCCGCTCCCGATCCCGTCGGGGTTAGAAATTAAGTCCCCATCCCAGTCCCGCTGAGTGCGGGTTCCCGCCCGCCACGTCCCGATTTATATTATTTTTAAAAAGATAATTACATTTATAATGAATTAATTTTACTATCTATTTTTTATATATAAATAAATATTTATAATTTATAATTATTATTAATTAAATATACATTTTAATTTATTATATTTATATTAAAATGTGTATGTAAAGGAAATATTTAATCATTTTTTATTTATAATAATATTATTATTATTATAACACTGTATTCAAATATTTGAATATTTATAACACTATTATTATAATACTGTATTCAAACATTTGATTATATATATAAGTTAATTCATTTTTAAGTTGTCATTTAAAAATATGAAATATATTGTTTATAAGGAAATATTTAATAAGTTAATTCTTATTCAATTAGTTCGAAATAATAAAAATTTAAATTATCAATTCCTTTAATCCTTTAAAATACAATTATTTTATTAAGATAAAATTTGATATATGATAAATAAGAATAATAAGATAAAAAATATGACATAATAAAACCTAATAAATATAAATTATAAATAAAATAATATTAGTTACTACTTTGTGTAAAATATTTAGAAAAAAATAAAGAATAAAAAAATTAACTTTGTGTTCATCAAATTGGTTGAAAAGATTGAAAAAAAAACAAATTGATGGGAGAGATTAAAGAGATATGAAAAAATGAAAGGTAAAAGAAAGAATAATGTAATAAATTAATTAATATAAAAGATTAAAAAAAATAAAAAAATTAAAAAGTGGGTAGAAGAAAAAAATTTGGTGAAATATAAAAAAATGACCTTATATGTAAAAAAGAAAAGGAAATACTTTTAGAATATTAATATTTTAAAATTTAAATTTAAATATAAAGTCGGGACGGGGATGCGAGACGGGGTCGGGGTGGGGATTGCATTACCCATCCCCGCCCCGACTTTTAAAGCGGGAAAACTCGAATCCGCCTCCGTTCCGGTCAACTCGGATTTTCCCATCAAACTCGGGACGGGGACGGGTCGGTCCCCACGGGAACGGGTTTAATTGTCATCCCCGATTTTAAGGTTAAATCATCCTCTCTCTACAGTTTAATCCATTTAAAAAATATATATATAATTTTCAACCTTTTAGGAAAATCAAAATTTTTTTAATCCCCTCTGCTAAAAAAAACCGAGATTATTTGATTTGGTTAATAAAAAAAACACATAATTAAAAAAAAATGAGACACGTTAATTTTTTTTTTTCACAGGTAGATTTTTTTGCTAAAAATTACATGATGGATTATGATATAAAATTATTTTATTTTCTTTTATTTTATTCTAATATCAATAAATAATTTAAAACAATAAATATATTTAATTTCATCTGTTATTTTTTAACTTTCTTTCATTTAATCAAAACAATTCTATTTTTTACGTTTTTTTTTCAACTCTTGATTTTCCATTTATACAATTCGAACAAAATGGAGAATCAAAGGCAGCGTTTAATGAGTGAAACCAAAACTAACTGTAGTTAAAGTCGACTGCAACTGTAAACGAACTTTACTTGTAAAGTTAAAGAGTCCAAATCCTATAAGATGATTTTAATTTTTTCCCTAATAAGTATGTCTAATCCGAGGGTCGATAATTGAATAATGATTATACTCAGTCAATGCAAAAAGGATTCTTATAATCAGACGGCTATAAACACGTATCCAATATCTAAGGAGAGAGGCCCAACCGTTGACTCGCGAGGTCACACGTTGTCTCTGTGAAACCCACCCTAGAATTGACCAAATCAAACTCCATCCACACGTTCTGCTGATGATGATGCCCAATCACGTACGCCTCAATTCCCAACAAATCAGAGTTCCCAAAAGTGAAGCAATAAACCCAATCACTCCCCTTCCTCACCCTGTACAACAGCCTCTCGCCGGACACCCTCATCTCCGCCCCCTCAAATACCAGCGTCACTGCCGGAACCGCCGTCAAACTCGCCGGCGCGTGGTAGCACAAGTCCATTGCCCCCTCAAACACAAAGTTTGGGTCCTCAATTCGGGTCAGCATCCCCTTAGTTTGCTCCAAGAACTCAACTTTCAATGCTGAATAAACCGACCCCAGAAGAAACGTGAACTGGGTACCCGAATCCACCATCGTCTGACCAGCTCCGGTGTGGTCGGGCACGAACACCGACTTCGGAAGTTGCAGAAGTTTCTCCGAAACTTTAATCCCCTCGAGCTGGACGGTGTACGCCACGCGGTCAAAGTACGGCAACGAGGTTGTCGCCGTCACTAAAGGTGTATACTTCAGCGGCCCCAGCCACGGCTCTCCGGCGGCTCCGCCGCCAAGGAGGAGGAAGCCAGAAGCGTCCTTCCCGGAGATGCAGTACGAGAATTTGGGGAGCGCCATTTGGGTCACGAGCGAGAGAGAGCCTCGGTTCATTCCCATTAGACCGGTTGTTTTGGAATCCTCGTTCGCGTCGGAGGTGTACCCGGCGGCGTCCATGCACCCGAACAAGGTTCCCTGTTGCGCTTCGCCGCCGATGGTGAAGGTTTCTGCGGCGAGGGTGCCCTCGATGGAGGAGGCGTCTGCGTAGGAGACCATGACGTGGCAGAGTTTGTTGGGGTCGCAGGAAGAGGGTAGGATAAGGTCACGAGTTTGTGTCTTGCATATGGATGAATTGCATGGAGTTGCGGTGTAAGAGGATGAGAGCAAAGGGTTGAAGGTTGAGTTTAGGTTTGGGAGTTTTTTGCAGTGGAGCCAGGAGAGTTCACTCCCTGTGTCGAGGACCATGGAAACGTTCTGTGGGGGCGACCCTACGGTTAGCGAGACGGTTAGTGTTACATTATGCTGGAAAGAGAGCTTCCGTGAGGGTGTCTGTGTTTTTAGAGGCAGTAGGAGGGGTTTTTGTATTTGTGATGAAGAGACACATGTTTGGATTTGGAGGAGAATGAAGAGGGGGATTGTGAGAGAATGGAGAGGATGGGAAAGAGAAGACTTAGAAGAGGCCATGAATTGAGAATATTGATTCAGGTTTGTGTTGGTTGGTGGATTGAGAATATTGATTGAGGTTTGGTTTGCTTCTCATGTGTTGTTGAGTTGGAACGTTCAGATGATATTAAAAGGGGAGAGAGAAAGTTGGAAGAGGGGGGTCTCTGATGGATTGGATTGTCCTATGAGACAGTCGCCGTGTGAAGGTATGGTGGAGTCTCTAAAGATTCTCGTGTATAGCTGTATCGGATGAGAATTCGTGTCGTGACATTCAGTGGAAAATGGATGTCTTGTTTGCTAGTCTTATAAAAGGAAAAACTATCGAGATTTTCTAGCTTTCTTTACAAGCGATTGGTATACAACCTTGATCGTGTTTTTGTTATGGAGTATTTGACTGCATGAGGCTCTTAATTATTTAATCAGTACTATTTTACAGCATGAGACTATGAGAGTGTGACTGTCTACCACTCTGATTTTATTGTTGTAAGATTGCATTTTGGTTTCACAAACTAGAGTCTATTTGTGAAGCGCATTAGTTGATTACACATCTTACAATCAAATAGTCGGTAGGATGCTGTAACATTGAATTTGGTTGTGAACTGTGCATGTCAGTGTAATTGATGGTTACGTATTGTTAAGGTTAACAGTGTGGTATATTGCTTAGATTACGATTTTTCTTTCACACATCAAGCATGTACATGGTGAAACGTGTCATAGTTTTTTAGGCATCTTATCTTGTTTGTCCGATGCATACTCATAGATAGGTACATATAATGTGCTTGAACATATGATTATGCTACCGACACTTTCTTTGGAAAAAGGAGCTCTGGAAACCCAGAAAGCATAGACAAAAAGTGCAGTGTTGTAGGAAAACCCGGAAGTGCAAAGGATCACCAAAAAACACTGCTTAGTTATGAAATGGTGTGTTTATTATCCCTTGTGGATTAATTCACCATTGCTATTAAAGAATGTTTGAAACTTTGCCACACGCTAATTTTAATGCATGATGTGATTAGTCATAGCAGCCAAGTTGATTATATGATGTACAGTATGAATCAGTTAATCAGATCGAATAAAGTTTGCCTTTGATTGGCAAAGGATACAGTATCTTGTTTGCATCGGTTGGTGATTTCCAGCTTTCTTTTTTTCCTTTTAAAATTTGCATGTAAAATTTTGCTTAGCACTAAGTAATTCAATTTTGCGCTACTATAATTATGACTATAATTTACTGTAAATTTGATGGTGTTAGGGAAAAAGCTTTATAATTACAAGTTTAATCTTGTTGTGATTTATTGAGCAATAGTAGTAGTTCTCTTACGTGAGATAGGATCGTGTAAATAGAGTTAGAGAAAGGTGTGTCACTAATTTTGATTGGCAATGGGAGTTCGACATCTTATTAAATGAGAGTTTGACATCTTATTTAATAATTAATTAATTCAGTCAAATTTAATAAATGAGATACCAACATCAAATTAGACAATAATGTACAACATTTCACACCTATAAAAATCATTACTACATTTTAGTGGGAATCTATCGACAAAGTCATAAGGTAGGTTGGGCTTTTCAAGAATGCAATATACTTATCTTGTAAGTTTTATTAGAGATCTTCCTTCATTGGATATATCGTTAAACTAAAATACATATATTTTTTATTATAAATTAACTTTTTTTAATATAATGTTAAAAGTTTACTTTAATTAATAAGATTTATTAGGTTTACGCACTTTCTAGTAAATTTATCATTGATAGTTCTAAAAAAGTTAAATATTTTTTGTTTTTTTATTTCGTTATTATTTTTAGTGTTTTTTCTAAATAATTCATACGATTCCTTTGGTTGATTTTGTTAAGTTATTTATTGAATTATATCCTAACGTGATCGTATATTATTGATATAAAATAATATGGTGTTGATTATGTTACTAGAATATAGTGACATGTAAATAAGCGTCATATCAACTCTACTTTGATACTATATTAAATATGATTAAATGAGTGTTAATTGACGGTTTTCCTTACCCAATTTAATCGAATTTATATACGAAATTATTTTGATTCACTTTAAAGAAAAATGAGTTAAATTTAACATCGAAAATAATAATTAGAGCAAATTAGAAAAAAAAACATCAAAAAATCTAATAAAACAATTACATCAATAAGAAAAAGGAAATGTTGAATATAAATTACCAATAGTATATCCATTTTCATAATTTAAATTGCTCACCTTTTTTTTATTATATTTCAAATTAAGTTATTGTCTTAAAATTTAATCCAATAATTGAGACGACTCCATATATTATTGGTTTGTGAAGGAAAAATTCTATAAATATAATTTAATATTATTTTTATTCAAACATTGCATTTTACTTTGTTAATTATTGGAAGGCAATTAAGAGAGTTAAATAATTAAAACAATTAAAAAAAATTACACATGGGTGTCCAATAATGAAGAAACAGTGAAGAATATGCGACTTGTGAGTGGTGACTATATATGATATAACATAGCCCTTGGCAAAAGGCTTTAACATATATAATAAGACTTATCATTCGGAAAAGTGATTGCCATCACATAACTCTTCCTTCCATAGCCTACATCCAGGTAGCTAGTTAGGGTTCTATTACTCTTTAAGGCTTTATACTCTCACATCCACACATAAATATTCGTGTGTCAATTTTATCAAATTTAAATAAAAATATCTATTTCAATAGTATATTTTTTAAATTTAATAAATTAAAATGACGTGTTATTATTAACATAATAGCAAAGAATCATATAATATAGATTTAAAATTGATCTTACGCATTAAAGTCAATTTTAGAATATACATTATTATTTCTTTCTTTATATAAACTTATGTAGCCACATATTTTAATTTATGTATCTATAGAAGGAGTTCAAAAAGTCGGTCAAAATCAACTATAATCAATATTGAGATGGACATCAGAATAGGAGGATACCCACAAAAATGCTCATATTTTAAAACACCAAGACACACAAAAAATCATTGTCCTCACAATCATTAATTGTATTATATTTTTATACTATTTTTCATCCATTCAATAAAGTTCTATTCACTTACATCTTAATAAAATTAATCATACAAATAAAATATAAATAAAATATTTAATAATATATTTTAAAAATATTATTTTACTACTTTCAACAATAAATCTAAATATATTATTAATCTAATAAATATATAAATATTTTTAAAACTATAAATTTTAAATTAAATATTATAATATTATATATATATATATATATTACTTAATATATATTTAAAAAATTAATCGATTATTTAAAAAATTAATCGATTAGTTTTTCAAACCATCTATTACTTTTTTAAATAATAGATTATAATCCATTATAATAGAAAAAAATTTCAAATATACATTAAATAATTACAAATAAAAATATATATCAAATTAAAATTAAATTAAATAAATATTTATAAATTACATATATTATATAAATTATAATTATAAAATTAATAAAAATATAACTATTTTTAATGTTAAATAAATTATATAAATTATATATATATATATATATATATATATATATATTACATAAATTAAAATTACATATGAACTTTAAATTAATTATATATATATATTTTTCATAAATTAAAATAAATATTATCAACTTAAAAAAACTATATTTAGAATTTGTTTCGGTGAGAATTTGATTGATTTCGATTTATGGGGAGTTGAGTCCTAATCAAATCTCGACCATGTAGATTCTTTTTACTTAGGCTAACAACTAGTTTTCAATCGAAAAGTGCATGAGAATCGAAAATCTTATAAAGTGTAAAACCGAGCATGACCTAGAGTACATATTTTTGATGCTTTCTTAAGAAATGCGAAGAAAAAGAAGTGTTGAAATCGAAAAGTAGTGCGGAATATTAAATTGCAGGAATGTAAAAAACACGGAAACCTCAAATTTGCATTAAGTATAAATAGCGAGAAATCGAAATTGCAGGAATGTAAATAACAGGAAATCGAAATTGCATAAGTGTAAATAGCGAAGAACTTAAACGCAGAATCTCAACTTACATAAAAGTAAAATAACATGGAATTGAAAGTGCAGAAACTTAAAGTTGCTTAAACGTAAACTGCATCAAAATAAATTGCATGAACATAAATTACCAGGGAAAGTACAAAAAGCAGTAAAGACAATAAATGAAAATGGAAATCCAGATCGCCAGAAACTTCATGATTTCGTCGTTCTCTGGTAGACTTTTTCACTAATGTTTCAGTTCTCTCTGCCAATTTTCCCCTTTCCTTCATTCTTTGCTCTATTTATAGAGCGCCTTTCAAGTAACCTCCTAAGGGTAGTTAACAAAACCGCCACCACGATCCATCATGCACGTCCCTCAGTTCCACGGTTTAAAAAACTGTATTTCACGTTCCCATGCATGAGATAACCACTCCCTTGACCTTCGATCTCTGCCACGGTTTAGAAACCGTTCCCATGTTCTATGTGCGCATTAATTGTTCCTCTCTTCTTAACTTAGCCAGAATTTTCGATGGCCGTGCATGTTAACTTTTCCCTCGATTTCGATTTCAAAATCTCGAGAACTTTGCATTGCTTTCCTGATTCCCCTTAATCTTAATATTACATGATTCTAATTCCTCGATTTTCTTCAACAATAGACATTAAATATTCCTCCTTCGATTCTTGATTCTAATTCTCGATTTACGTGTTCATACTGTTACATGGTCATTGAATGTTTTCCAACCATCTTTTCACTTTATCAGTTTTTTAACCAATCATATGATCCTCGATTTTTCTTTCCTTCGTTTTTCGATCCCTTTATCGATTTCCTACTAACAAAATGCCCCATTGGAAGAATATAAATATTAATTTTTATTTTATATTCTTACAAAATGATTCCCGCCTTCAAACGTTTTGGAGGCCCAAAATAACTTTTAGGGTTTCTAGGGTTTTTCTAGGGTTTCTTTGCTTTATGTCACATATCAAATCACTCTGTTGTCACACTGCACACGCCACATTAATT